ATTGTACTTCTACAAGAAAATATTCAATAATGTAAAATTTAATTCAAAGCATAAAATTTGCTTTTATTCCTACACAAAAATGCAAATGCAAGTCGAAAATATTTTATTTTTAAAAGTACATACAAATATTTGTCTTTATATTTTATATAAACTAAATAATTCAATCCCATATGAATACATCTATATATATGTATGTGTATAATATACATATATATATAAATACAATATACCACTATAAATTTTTAATTAAATTAAAAATATTTATTACACGCATCACAACATTATTATCCTTTGATCCTTATTTCTTTTTGAGTTTTGTTGAAGAAAATCTTGTTTAGTTTTTATATTTTTCTTCTTAATTTCGGATAATTCTGTATACATACATACATAAATTTTTGTTTGAGTAACGGATTCAAAGGAATCACAAATCTTTAATGGAAAATATTTAAAAAACAAAAAAAAACTAGAAGAAAAAAAATGAAAACATTTGACGAAAAACCATCTGTATGTAAATAAGAAAATTAATTTTAAATGTTAAACTTTTTAAAGAAACAAAATGGAGAGACATTTTCTTTATTTCTTGGTTGATTCCTTTGTCTTCTTTATTTTTTTGTTCAGGAAATGAAACGTTAAACAATAATGGGATATACGCATCGCTTTAAATAATTACGACCAAGATTCATGAATATTAAATTAAGGGGTTAGTACGCACTATTTAATTTTACATTCCATGAATATTTTTAAATTTCTTCTTTTTATAAAAATATTTTATTTTTACAATTTTATTATAATAAAATAAGCAGAGAGAGAAAGAAAAATGATATTAGATAAAAATAAATTTTACAAATAAAATGAAAATGTAAAATAACAATTCGATTACGTCACCAAGAATGTTTTTCGACCACAAATTTGCGTTTTATTGCTTTTTCCTTATTATTCTTTCACTGTTTTATCAAGTATAGTAATAATAGTAATAAAGCTAAAGTTAGGTTTAATTGTAATAAAAAGAAGTGGTATAAATTGGAGTTTATTTTAAGTGCTTCGAACGCAATACATATTATAGTAACTACGACTGACATTCAAATATAGTCGGGCAACGTGTAGTAACTGCCGATTAGGATATTTTATTAATTTTTAAATAAAAATATGTTTAACCTTACACTGATCTCATTTAATTTCTCAGATTAAAATAGTGAGTGTAGGAGTATTATAATATAGTTTTTATTTTCAGAAATATTAAGTTTTGAGTCTTGACTTTTCCAGAAATTCCACATACTTATCTGTCTTAAAAGACTAATTTTGGTCAATAATTTTAGTTTCTTGCATAAAACAGTATGATATACTCCAATTAGTCCTCCAATAATACCGTCCATTTTAGGTTATATATAGCTTGTGAGAGAATAACAATCCTTTTACAACGATAATAGAGCTAGTCAAGCAAATTTACATAGCAATTCTTCATATAATTCAACTAATCTTTACAGATATAAGATGTTTAAAAATTATATTTACATAAGTCTTTACTGATTCATTAGCAGTTCACAAACGAAGTAGATATTATATTTGAAAATTGCTGGACCCTATTTTATTAAGTTTCTAAAATAATTTTAAAAGCTAGTTGCACATATCTAAAAATTTAAAATTCTTTTCATATAATAATTGAATTAAAAAAAATTCCATTAATACTCATTGCTTACATTCATTCATTATAATATTGAAGATAATTATAAGAAATATTTTTGTTTAATATTTACACTTTAAGTTTAACACTACATTTTCTATAAACCTCATTTAAATATTTCATCTTTTTAAATATACCCTTATTGCAATTAAATGCTTCTTAATTTCTTCAGTCATATTGTCGTAAAATATTTCACTTAATAAATAAATTTATATTCAAAAATTTTTTAATGAAGTTCCCTTATTTAAGAAGAAAAGGATTATCATGTGGATTCAAATGACTTTTTTATATAGTTTAACATTTTACTTAAATTATTTTTTCATTATAATATCATTATTTTCTGCTGATTTTAATATTTTAAATATTTATAGGCGTATTTTATACAAAAAAAAAATAAAAAAAAAAAGTAAAGTTTTCATTTTTTATTTTAGCGACATTAACTAATCACCAAATAACTATCGAAAATTTTTAAAATCCCTTAACAATCTTTTAATTTTTGTTCGTGGGGGAAAAGCGATGGTGGAAGAGAATATACAATTTTAGGTTTTATATTACAATTTTGATTCGAGTTCATTTATAATGTTGGGAGATAATTGACATTAAGTCAATTCTATATAAAACCACTTCAGAGTCAAAATTTAGTTGTGACGAAAAATACTTACAAAAAAAAAAAACAAATTAATCTCTTTATAACAATATGTCCTTTTTCAAAATAATGAAAAAGGATACCAAAACGGATAGTGGGGAATCATTATGGAATTTTGAATTTTCACAAAAGACGAGACAAATTTTTTTTTTTCTTCTCTGTGCTTGTTTTTTATTCTAATTATATTTTATGATGTCAAAAAAGAAAAAGACAAAACAAAAAGAAATAGAAAAATTTATGAGACTTTTCCGAGAACGATAAAAATTCTCAAAAATAAAAACAAAGTTCTTGTTAAAAGAAAATATTCATTCATGATGAAATAAACAGGGAGACGGAGTTGAAGGGGCATGAGAAATGATCGTTCGTTCCATTGAATCCATTGAATTTTATGAATTTATCAAGAAAAAAAAAAAAAAATAAAAATACTTTTCTTCATTTTTGTGTAAAATTAAAGGGGTATTAATTTTAGTGGGTACCTATGTCAAGTCAATTGAGTTCATAAAAACACAAGGATTTTGTTTTTGTTCTATTTTGAAGAGAATACTTTTAGGCTAAAAATGTTATACAATAAAGATAATAAAGTCTGAATTTCAAAAATTATGTTTTATAATAGAAAATTTTTATAGATGAGACATTTTTGATTATATTTTTTTTGTTTTTTGGAAATAATTTATTTGTAATACGATAATAGTGAGGTGCAGAATGGGAAAAGATGAATGAGGTTTAAAAATTAAGAATAATTATTTTAAATAATTTTTGACTTTTGTTGAGATTAAAGATAGAAAAAAGTTTTTAACAATAACTTCTATTTATGATTTTATGTCGGTGTGTTTATGTAAATTTATAAAAAGTTGCTAATGAATCTATGTTATTGTTGAAAATAGAAAAGTTAATTTTTCGTAAATTTTTTTTTTAATTTTTGCTATTATAAGTTTGGAAACAATGTTTAGTAATTTATTATAATGAAATAAAGTTAAAAAAAGTTTAGTTAAAATGATATAAATTTAAAAAAAAATTGATATTAAAGTTGAAATGGGAGCAACCTAAAGATTGAAAATATATGATACTCTGAACTGCTTTAATGGAAATATAGATTGAGGATAAATTCTGAAAAAAAGTACAATGTGATGTTCTTAAATATTTTTTCATATTTTACATAAGTTTTTGAGTTTATGAAAATTTAATTAAAAATTCATGAGACATTTTTATAAATCATCTTTGATATCTAGTTTTCTTTACAGATTTTTGTCAATTTTTTTTAGATTTTAAATCGTTCTATATTCAATTTCGTAATTCTAAAATCTTATATCTAGTCGTACAACAATTCCAAAATTATTATATTCAATTTCGTAATCTAGTTGTACATATAATACGAAAAACAATTTTAAATACGTATGTATGTACATTAAATACCAACCGTATCTAAAATTTTATTCTAATCCTTATTATTTATTAAAATCTTTTTTGTGTGAAAACCAGAAATTCAACTTTGCCTTTTAAATAAAATGCAAAATTTTCTTAGTTATTTTTCTTTACAAAATTCAAAAATATTTTATTGATGAATTTTATATTTTAACATTTTCAATTTAAATTTCTCTTTCAAAAAGCACGCGTGAAAATTTCCTTGAATAAGCACTATTACTTTAAAAATTGTATTATAAAAAAAATTGAAATTGAAAAAAAAAATTAACAAATTTGTAAAATGGAATCAAAATTTTTCGTTTAGGTCCCTCCCACTTTTGAAAATATGTAGATAAATAATTTATATTTTTGGCAGGCACTTTGGTGGACATTTGGAATTATTTTTTGTTTCCTAGATTTTTGAAGGTAAAGAAAATGGTATATTCAAAGGCTTTTATGGACTAAAAGAATCATTTCTGAAGGCACCTAAAAAACCTGTCTTACAAACTATTTTTTCAAATTCTGCACGATTTTATCTATATTATATGTTGAAATGTTGTTAATCTACCTGACTTACACCTAGAAGGACACAAATTTCATAAAAAAAAACAAGATTTTAATTTTAGAAAAATTATACCTATGTTTCCCACCTAAATTAATTTTCTTTAAAATCTAGAATAAGAAACAAGAATACAAACTAAGGACACATTCCACCCCTTCGTTTATATACTATGTACCTAAAATAGTATCCGAATACGAAAAGAAATTTAGTAACATCCTACGATTGAAAAAAAAATAAGAGTCGAAAATGATAATAAAAACATTGAATATTTCCAAAAATTTAAAAATAATAAAGGATATAATAGTTTTTGATTGTGATTTTTTCTCCCAATTGAATAAGAATTTTACCTTTTGCATAAGCAACGAAAGCCTATACATACATATATACACACAATATTACCAAGAAGAATATTAAATTAAATTACAAAGGATTTACGCATCCTTTTTCTTTTTCGTTTCTTGTATATCTATGTATGTGTTTCTAACATTTTACAGTTATTTTACTATATTGTTTTCTATATAAACCAATACATAATATTAAAAAAAGATTATTCAATCATTTTTGCGGATAAATTTTAAACTTATAATCTATACCTACACACAGTGACTTAGATTTATTTAAACATACATATTTATATAATGTGTAAATATGTATGAACATAAATTTCATTAAAAACTAAATTTTTAAATAATAAATTTAAATGTACTTACGTGAGTTTTGAATGGCAGAATTATTGTAATTATATCTTTAAAGGATCCACCTGGCTCGGATCCATTTTTAATGCCTCCTTTCGTTTAAAGGATCCATTTAGCTCAAATTCAATTGTTATATTCCCACGCTGAATGTTTTTATCTAATTCGGATTTAGTTGTATTCCCACGTTGAATGGATCCACCTAGCTCGGATCCATATGTAGCATGTATCATTATGTTGAATGAATCCACCTAGCTCGGATTCATTTTTAATGCCTCCTCGTTTAAAGAGTCCATCTAGTTCAGAAATAATTCTAATATTCCCACGCTGAATCTTTTTATCTAATTCGGATTTAGTTGTATTCCCACGTTGAATGGATCCACCTAGCTCGGATCCATATGTAGCATGTATCATTATGTTGAATGAATCCACCTAACTCGGATTCATTTTTAATGCCTCCTCGTTTAAAGAGTCCACCTAGTTCAGATTTAATTCTTATATTCCCACGCTGAATCTTTTTATCTAATTCGGATTTAGTTGTATTCCCACGTTTAATGGATCCACCTAGCTCGGACCCATATGTTGCACCATCTATAATTATGTTGAATAAACCCACCTAGCTCGGATCCATTTGCTGTAAATTTATTTTGAAACTATTCATCTATCTCGGATTCAAAATTTGCGCTTCTATTCAGTAAGAACGCCGCTTGGAAAATAAAAAAATGCCGTTAGCTTTCATAGCACAACGCTTACATGGGCAAGCTGCTTAATTAATATTGACACTATTAGTTGACATTTAGTTTTTCAAAATGCCAAATTAATGCCCATAATGACATGAGGGTTTAACCGGCACATTTTTAAAACATCCAAAAAGGCCAAAATTTATTATTTTATCAATGAAAAATTCAAACATTTTGGATTCAGTTTTATTTTTAAATTTATTTTTTATAACGTTTTTATACCGCTCACCAGCACATATAATATGTTTAACAAATTTGAAAATTTGTTTAAGACAGCATTTACACATCATGCAAAGTTTGATGATTTGCTTGGTTGGATGAAAATTTGATGGAAATTCGATTAGATTAAACATCTAATCAAATCAAGCAAAATCGTATGGAAAAAAATAGGGTCTTGCCCAATTCTTATTACCCTTTTTGACAAAAATAAAAAATAAAATGGCGGATTAGATTTTAGGCGTTAAGAGCGCAATGATCAGCTGTTTGTACTGAAGTTTCTATTTTTAAAGTTTCTACATAGTTAAAGTTTTAGAAAATGATTCAATTGCCAGTGAGCGACAATTTAATTGAATTTATTAAATCTTTTGAAAAACATAATTTTGCTACTCGTAAAACAAAATGTCAAATTCTTTGTTAAACTTTATAGCGATTTGCGAATACTTACTACCCGTTATTTCAATACTCGTTAATCCTTGAACAAGAATACCTGTTACTTAACACTCCCACAGAATTTATCCCATGTCATGTATGTACATGGGATTGACTAATATTATTTTTGTCATAATATTTAATGTGACAGAATGTAATAGAAAATAGTAAATAGAACACAATTTGATAGATTCGTATTAGACTTTATGTGTTGCTGTTTTTGTGCGATTATTGAGTGTGATGTTTATTATATAAATATATATTATTCTTATGTTTGTATATCTGGAGAGAATTTATGAATTTTGTTTACATTTAAGTACTGTTAATTTTTCATGTGTACGAGTATATATTTAAAATTTAGTTGGAATATTGTTAACGTAGCGGTCATATTTGAAAAATGTATTACTGGATTTTGATAAAGAAATTTAATATGCGAAAAAAGTTTCAAAAGTAAAGTTGATAAATCTCGTCAAAAAAGTATTTCAGTTCAAATTACGATATTAATAACTAATACCTTTAAAGCCTTGTAATAAAGCTCTGTACCTCAGGAAGAAGAAGTCGGAAAGACATGATTCAAAAATTTATTCCTGGATTTTGATTAAAAAAACTTCAATTTGCGAAAAATAGGAAGGTAAAACCGGTCAACCTCGACCAAAAATTTGGGTCCAAAAACCACTCTCACTTTTTAAACTTTTTTTATTTTTATTATTCGTTTACAGAAGTACTACATAAAAATGGGTTCAAAAACAATGGTAGCACTTTTCGGACTTTTTTTGAATTTTTGTTATTTGTTTAGCTTCTACTACAGAAAGTAATATGTTTTTCTTGAGGAATATGTTTTTCAAATTAGTTCCGTAAAATCTTTGGTTCTCTAGATATCAGAACCAAAGTATATCTACTAATAAGTAATTCGACTCGTTCCATTCCGTTAGTTTTCATTTGCATCTTGCTTCCAAATTCTTAAAATATTCCATTTTTTTTTAGAAATAAATGGTAATAAGAGTTGTGTAGGCAAGAAAGATTTGATTTATTGAACAAATTCAAAAATTTATAAAAACTTATTTTTTGTGTTGGTAAGTCGGCTTAAAAACACTTTAGAAAACAAATTTAAAAATAAAAAGCACAAATATTTATAATTTTTAAATGACAAAGTTGCTTCTCACAGGTGTTTTAAAAATGAGTTGGTGAAACGCTTATGTCATTGTGGGCATTAATTTGGCATTTTGAAAAACTAAATGTCAACTAATAGTGTCAATATTAATTAAGCAGCTTGCCCATGTAAGCGTTGTGCTATGAAAGCTAACGGTATTTTTTTTATTTTCCAAGCGGCGTTCTTACTGAATAGAAGCGCAAATTTATTATTCAACATGAATGAACAAAAATTGGATCCGAGCTAGGTGGATCCATACAACTTGAAAGTTCTAGGTGGATCCATTCAACTTGAAAGTTCAACAATTGGATTCGAGATAGATGAATCATTTCAAATTGAGTTTACAGAAAATGGATCCGAGCTAGGTGGATCCATTCAACGTGGGAATACAACTAAACCTTGAATTAGATAAAAACAGAGTGGGAATATAACAATTGAGTCTGAACTAGATGGATCCTTTAAACAAGGAGGTACTAAAAATGAATCCGAGCTAGGTGGATTCATTCAATATAATGATACATGCTACAACATATGGATCCGAGCTAGGTGGATCCATCAACGTGGGAACATAAAAATTGATTCCGAGTTAGATAAATACATTCAACATGGGAATATAACAAATAAATCTGAACTAGATGGATTGTTTAAACGAGGAGGCACTACAAATGCATCCGAGCTAAGTGGATCATATTATCAAGGAAGTGCTCACTTGATCTGTGTTAGGTGCATTCACCTGGCACAATTTCTCCCTTGTAAGGTAAGAGCATTCAAATTTTTTCTATTGTACTAGTTATAAGTTTTAAACCTTTATGCATTACCCTGTATATTGAAAAAAATGTAGTCTAAATTGTGGGAAACATCTTGTAAAAAAAAAATCAAATCGTAAGCAGCGTAATTGATAAAAGGAAATATATGCATATGATATTATCCTTGAACCTTTTGGAGGATTACATATGTATAACGTAGAAATTTAGAATAAATATGTGAATAAATATGTTTGTGTATGTAAGCAAGTACATATTTACGCATTGTTCTTTGAAAACATTTCAATTCGATTATTGTAAGTGTACAGGATGCTTAAGAAACACTAACAATAATCAAGGCTGTACTCATTAATCTTAAGTAACTATGTAGTTGAAAATTTGCTTGGATATTTTGTTGCTAATTAATTTCTAAAGGACCACTAATATACATAATTTCATTTTCTATAACTCTTTTTTGTTAAAACTATAGCCTCTAAATTGGAAATTTAAATTTCTGCTATCCACTAAGGTATGTTCAAAGGATACACGCTTATTATTTCAACTTAAATTCTTTCTACTCAAGATATTTTATATTTGTTCTAATTTTAGATGCTTTATTTAAACATATTATATTGAGCGTATATTTTATGTTTTAGAAATAAAGTTGTTAAATTTATTAGCAATGTAAAACAAATTTCAGGAATACAAATTTTCAATGTATGTCATGATCTTTGTGATTTTGTTGATTTCCTGTATTGTTAAGGAAAAATGAGAAATGATGAAGAGATAACCGTGTAGGTAGATGTTATTTCATATATTTCTAAGGAAAAATTTGAAGCCATTAAATAAACAAAAATATTTTCTTTTATAGTATTGGAGTATTCTCAATATTAAAAGAAAACATGCAAAAGTAATTTTTCTTATTTAAAAAAAAATAGAAAAGTAGGTATGTATATGAAATATTTTAGGGGAATTTGTTTTAAGTTGCAATTCAATTAATTTAACAAAAACATGTTTATAGTTCACGAATACTTTAAAACTGTACTCACACACATTTTTAGAATAAATCAATAAGTTTGAACATTCAATGCATGTTTTGAACATAACGCTTTTGTTTCATAATACGTACAAGACTTTTAAATAACCTCGAAATAGCCATTTTTTTTTTTCTCAAATTTTAAAAAAACTTAATATGTATTCCAACATAAGGTTTTTACTAATCATACTTTAAGATATTGTAAATGATTTCCATATCACCGCATAAATATTCAATTAGATATTTTATTTAATTGCCTAATTTATAACTTTTAATCTAATAAAGGAATTTAATAGCAAAATATATATAATTTTCTTTGATCAATCCCTTAAATATTATCTTGTATTACTTTGCGATGTGAATCTTTTATGTGAAATAATTCCCTTAAGTATTCAACTACATTTTAAAGAAAATAGAATATGGCTGCCTGAATAGAAATTATAATCTAGTGTTAGGTAACAAAAATGTTTCAGTAACTGAATCTAATAATAGTTAATCTACACGTTATAATCTTCTCTATTAAATCTTAATGAAACTCAGTTCTTCTTCAAATATAATAATATTATGAATATGGGGTTGCACGAAAAATAATTTTTTTTTGTAAAAGATATCGGTATCTAAGATTTTTCTTTTCTGAATATCATAGAAATAATTCAAAGTAATTATTAAAACTGGTTAAATATAAAATAAAAAACTTACATATTCGAAAGTAAATCGTAACTCTATGTGTATATAAAGTTAATATAATTCTAAAATTATCCAGAAAAAAAAGTGTTCAAGAATATTTTTATCTGGCTTTCCTTTTACTGCCGCACATATTTGATTCATGAATTTTCTCATGGCCATGTTATGCAGTACATGCAATATTTTATTTCACATGTTTTGAAAAACAATTACTCTAACAAAAAGAGCTCCATGCACATGAGGGTGGGCCTGCAGAGATTTCAGTAAGTTAGAAACCTGAAAATTGTGTTTACTTGAATGCTAAGACAAGATTCCGGAAACTATTAATAATACAATAAAATACATTTCATTACCCTTAATGCAAGATTTCTTCAAAAAATCTTGAGGGAAAATTATATTACTAAGAAATGGAATCGTCCAACAATACTGCAGAATTTTCGGTATAATCTTTCATATTTAAACATTTACAGGCCAATCCCCCCAATATCACTGTTGTTATTTACCATAACAACACAGTGAAATAACCCCTCAATGTTCTCCAATGTAATATTTAGTGTCCACATCCACCTCATGGAAAAAAAGCATGGAAGGTAATCGGTTCTGGGGCAGTGTTTAGATTCAACACTTCTCACTTTTTCTTTTGTGAGGGTTTTGAAATGTCTATGTACATATTTATGTGGCAATAAAAGCGGCATGATTTACTATACCACTCATGTTTGTGATCA